AATAATACTCTGAAATTTTCATCACTTTTTTAACAGAGCTTCTTTAGGCTTTCCCATTGAATGTATAGTAAAAAGTTCTTTCTGACAGTAAAGACATATTGAGCAATTCTTTCTGTAAATCCTTTAGCTTACACAGTCAGAACCTAGAAGAAAGCTTCTTTTCTGAAGGATCTTTATGTTTCAGTGATTCTGCTATACTGAGAAAGACTAATATGACCTCATTTTGTTTGTACAGATCTGAAGAGGAATGATTACACACCTGACAAGATTATATTTCCTCAGGATGATTCCCCTGAATTGACAATTCAGCCTGGAAGCTGCACCAAAGAATCAGATTCAGCTAATTCTATTCGTCTGATGCTCTAAAATGATGTGACCAAATCAGTGGCTTCATCCAAACTTCATGGAATGTCACAAAGTTGTCACTTATGTTTTCTTCACTTATAAGAAAGATGTATCAAAACAAGGATCGTTGTGTTATAAGTGGAATTTTAGATGGTCTAAATCTGAGGACCTAACAACTTGTGATAACCATCTACCGAGAACAGCTTGGCAGCTGATCATTTTAAAAGGTTGAATAATGACAAGTATTTATGATATGTTTTTAAAGGGGCTTTTTAGCAGAAGGTTTATTTTTAATTTTGCTTTGGTTTAGTGGAGGATTTCCTCTCTGTAATCCTGTGGTGTGCAATATGCCTTCAACCAAAAGGATTTTGGTAGTTGATGTCTTGAAGGTAAAGTGTCTGTTTGGCAGCTGTCTTACTGTCAGTCAGCCAAAGGCTGAAGGAGAAAGCACCTACCTCTGTGATGCCAGAGTACTCTCTGAGCATTTTCAGAAGTGTTTGGCTAACATTTTCTCAACAGATCTCTTTTTTAAGAGGGCAGATATGGATGAGGTGTATGTGTGCACCAGTGGGCTGAGGTTGAAGGCAGAAACTTGATGTGGTCTGAGAGAGAGCAGGAAAGAGAGAGTCTCCTGAATCAGGATTCAKCTTCATGGCTATAAAGCTGTCGTTTTGTTTGTTTCTTTTATGGACTAGAGCCCTAATTGTGCATAATGTAATTTCTTGTTTTATACATTTCAGTTTTATCACGTCACCGTCAGATAGTAACGAACAAAGCCATGATAGACTGGTATAATCACATGTAATAGAAGAAATAGTATATACTGGTCCAAATAAGTTGCCTTGTAAGAACACAAGTTGGAAGTGCTTTTCTTTGTATGTAGTGACTGCTTCAGAAGTTATGCCTTCCAAAGATCTCGTAAAACCAGTATATCAAAACTGAATGTACACATAACTTTTAAATGTATTTAAAATTGTGTAGAAACATCTTTAATGTTATGTTATTTGTGGTACTTATTTAAGAGAGGCTAGGGTTGGATTATCATTATGTAAAGTACGGGAGATTGCAATGCACCTTTATGCCAATAAAATGTAATTTAACTGTCCCAAATATTGTTGAATATTCAGCAAGAAGAACCTGTTGTCCAACTGAAGTTTCATGCTGCGATTTTTTTTTGTTTGTTACATAGGTACTAATTTGTAATTTTTAATTACAAGGGCAGTATAAAGCTCTATAAATTTTTTTATTCAGTAGTGTATCTTATAGATACAGACCTAAGGCACGAACACAATAGCTGTTTAAATGGTGTTTTATGTTTGATGGGGAAAGGTAAAATGTTATAAGGATATAATACTGTATACATTTTGTATATCATTAAATCTTTAAAGAATCTAAAATAAATTTATTCTTGTTTACAGAATTCTGATGTCCGTCTTAGTCTGAAAGTTCATTTGGTTGAATTTGAGTAACTCTTTATGTGGAAAAGTAGAATTTGCCATGCTGGATCAAAGCAGTTGCTCATCTTTGAGGTATCTCAACTTTGGCTTACACCAGAAATTAGAAAAATGTGGAACTCCACTAGTGGGCAGGAAGTATGATAAGAGTAGTAAGTAAATGAACCAAAATATGTTAAACTTAAAATATTTGGTTTGAATTAGGAGTTTCTCTTTGGGTGCCTGACTGCAACTTTACAAATGGCCTCTTCTTTCAGACCAGCAGACTGAAAAAATCCATATTCTTCAGGGAAGGCATTAGAAAGAGATGATGGCAAAGAAAATTTCYGTGAAGAAATGGTTTGCCTTGCTAGGATTTGCCTTGTGCTGTTGACCTGTCATTTAATTAGGCTGCAGGCACATGGAAATGACCCACATAAATGAGCTTGATTTGGCTGAGTGCATCAGGAGGGTGACCCTCCTGCTGCCATCTCCCTGCTGCAGTAGTGYGTGTCCATCCCTGCCTGGGAGCAGAGCAGAGTTTGTGGCTCTTGAGCTTTGAGAAGAAAGCAGAAGCACCGCTGAACATCAGACAGTTTCTGTTAACTAACCCAAACCAAAACATCAGCATATATTCTTAGATGCTAATTTCTTAAATGCAAGAATTTAGTAATTCAAACTTTTTGTAATTATTTTTAGTAAAAATTGGAAATGCTTCAATAATTTTCAAACTAAATCATTTAAGTATTATTTTCTACCTTGGGAAATAGGGATGGTGGTTTTGGTTTCTCCCATCACCTTCAGAATATTTTAATTAGAAGAAATATCCTTTGAGATTAGGTTAAACTGAGTATTATGCACTCAAACTAGTGTTGGTTGCTAATGCAACTTGTGTTTTAAAATGCACTTTATTTCTTTTCCTCTAGCATCAGCATTTCTTTATGCAGATCATCTCAAATCTACTGATAATGCTAATTGAATCTTTTTAAATAATACATCAAATTCAGCATTGACTGTCTTATAGCAACAGCTAAGTGCTGAAATGCTTCAGAATAAAACAATCCTAAATTCACTGTGGCAAAATCACAGCAGCCACACAATCAGGAAAAGGCTTTTTTTTCCACAGCAGCCTCTCCTTTAAGGCCACACCACTTACCACTGCAAGAGATTGAAAGGGAAAAAGATGCCAGCTAGAAGGATGGTAATTAGTAACAGTTCAAGCTGTAACCTGGTAAGAGCTAAATTAGAGAAAGAAAATAAAGAAAAAGTACAAACAAGAAAAAGTTTCTGAAAAGACCTGCTGACTTTGCGTTTCTTCTTTTGCTAGTATTTCTTTTCCTTGGAAGTAATCTGAGAGTAACAGGAGACTACTACTAAGCCCCTGAGCTTGTAGCAGGTAACATGGAATTTCGTTCCAATAACGTGTGGATTTCGATGTCGTGCTTTACGCTAACAATAATTTAATGAARGTCTTGATGTGGGTTCCACAAAAAGCAGGAATAAGAATATATTTTGGGGTTTTACTGTGATGCTTTTCAGCATAGCTGGTGTTAGTACCAAGAGTAAAATTGAGATATACTGATTATAGTATTTTTAAAATATCGACACTGCCTTTCAGGGTTTTAGTGACTTAATTCTTAATACCCGTTTTGTTGTACCAGCATGAGAGCTCTTATTGGTTGAATTTGATGTAAGTAGCTCTTAGGTGTTCCCCAGTACTAGTTTTGAAAAGTTTTTAATGTTTCCATCAACCTGTATTTTAACTTACAACTTGCTATTTCAAGTCTTTTTTTTTTTTTTTTTTTTTTCTTTTCCCCCCTCAGTTCTTCAAGGCAAATAGTTACTTCTAGTAATAACATTTTTAACAATTAGTAGAGACTGGACCAGTGTAGGTTAGTGAAATGCTGCGTGTTTTGCAGTGCTGTTGTCCTGCATCCTATATAGGACAACAAAAAATTTTCTTCCCTCTCTTTATCTTTCTTGGTTTATTTTTCAGCACATCTTAATATTTCAAACAGAATTTTAGAATACTTTTATTTACAAGTCAACCATAGCTCATAGTTCTGTAGTTTTGTGCTGTCCTTAAAACTTGTTCAAGAAGTTCACATGGAGCCACACTGATACACTGGGACTTCTGTATGACAGAAGAGAACTGCAGAATCATGAAATTTAGCAGTTTCATCATGAAACCCGTTCGCTCAGTTACCTCAAAATGGGACCTCGCTGCGGGTTCTAGGTGCCGGCTTTCCAAACGGAACCAAGGTGTCCGTGTTCTGCACCCCAGTCCGCTGCTAAGGAGCAAAGCTAAGTTCTAGTTTGTTTGTTACTGAGACGCTATTTTAGCTTTTTTTATCCACTTTTTTTGTGCCATTTAGATCTTCTCTTTCCTAGTATGAAGACGTTCCTCTGGGGAAACATGCAAGGAAAGAGTAAGGCTTTGCTAGGACAGGCTGTGTTAAAGGGTGCTTGGTCAGGTGCAACATTGACTACCCCGGTGGACACAGATCCTGGAGAAATACTTAACAAGACACACTAAGATCTCTACCACAGTGAGCAGCACTGCTCTAAATATACGGCTCAGCTYACACTTATAAAATTAAATTATTACTGAAATTGAGATGCAAGTTGTTTGTACAGACCATCTGCAAGGCCAGAATTGCAGTGTACTAAATTACAAAATGTTGCTGGCACTAATGCATGGCTGTAAATGTAAAGCTCAGGAGTGATCTGTAGACATTAAGCCTTTGGGGAGTTTATTTTAATGTATTTGCTTTCTCACATCAGATGATGAGAAGAATATGCAGCCAGGTAGCAGGAACTTTCCAAGAAAATCAGAGAATAAGTTTCTGATGTGGAGATTTCAGATGAATTTGAACAGGAAAGGTAAGATATACAGGCCTTACAGGGATAATTACCATTTTATTAGTAATAGTGAGGTCTRTCTCAGTATTATTTAACCTTATAGAAGGGTAAAGACAGAAACTGATACCAAAAAACACTAGTAACTAATATCAGCAAATCCAGGTGGTGGTTCCCATGTTTGTGTTGTGTCGCTGCTCCGTAAACGGCATCAGAGGTGGGAGGGAGACGGGGATGGCTGAGGGCGCTTGGGTGGTGACAGGRGCAGTCGGGACAGATGCCCCTTGAGCAGCACTTGACCACTTTTTTTGCAGGGCACTTTGGAGCCGGGATAAGCGGTGAGCTGATTTATTTTCTCAGGTTGAAGCTTCTGGCTTTCTCTTCTCAAAAGACGTAAGTAACAACCCTTGTAACTTGTTAGCTGCCACGTCTCCTGGTGTTTCCCCAAAATGGCATTTACTGAGGCGGGGAAAAATCTCCCTGTCAAAAATAACAGTGGCGGAGGGTCTTGCTAACGAGCCCTAGCTGCAGCTGAGCAGTGGATCTGCTCCTGCACGGATCTGCTGTAATTTTTACTTGAGTCAGGTGTTTGTGCTCATTCCTTAGCCTGTGCTGCGGTCCTGGCTCAGCCTTCCCTCAAGTTTAGATAAAATCTTCAACTTCTTCCATCTGATATCCCAGAATTACAGAATAATTGAGGTTGGAAGGGAYCTCTAGAGACGATTGGTCCAACCCGCCCTGCTCCAGCAGGGACACCCAGAGCACAGGGCACAGGGTAGCATCCAGGCGGGTTTTGAAGATCTCCAGAAAAGGAGACTCCCCAACCTCCCTGGGCAGCCTGTTCCACTGCTCTGTCACCCTCACAGTGAAGAAGTTCTTCCTCACATGGAGATGGAGCTGCCTGTCTTTCAACTTGTACCCATTACCCCTTGTCCTGTCAGTGGCCACCACTGAGAAGAGTTTGGCCCCCTCCTCCCTACATTCCCCCTCAGATATTTGTACATATTGATAAGATCTCCTCTCAATCTTTTCTTCTCCAGGCATATCAGTCAATATGTTCTTGCTAAGCCCATATAAGAGAACATGTCTTGTTTTTTCCCTAGTACCGTGCTAGTGGAGAAGGGGTAACTAAGGTTTATTTGTTATTTTGTGCTTTGTTGGTCGCTTGCCGTGAGTTTTGGGGCTGCAGGCCCAGGCGTGGCGGACTCCCCTGGCCCTTCGCAGGCCTGGCCGCCCTTCCCGCAGAGCGCCACATCCTCCGCACCCGGAGCCTCCCGAGCCGTCCGGAATGTGGGAACCCGGGGAACCCCGGAGCGTCACAAAGCGGAGGTCGGGGCCGCGGGGCCGCGTGCCGTGCGGGCCGCACGGGCCGGCATGAGCAGGGCGGGCTGAGGCGAGCGGCGGCTCCCRCGCGGCACCGCATGGCTGACCGCGCCCCGGCCGCTGCCGACGTCGYCGACCTCGTGAACACCCTGTGAGTCCTGCCGGGCCGCAACGCGCCGGCACAGGCGCCGCTGGCCGGGGACGCGACCGGGACCGGGACTGGTTGCGGCTGTGCGGGCATTAGGTGGCGGAAAACGGCCCTCAGCCCGGGAGAGGTGACGAGTTTTGTCTCTCCAGCAGTGCAGCTTTTCTGATATTTCCAGTATCAAAGTGAGGCTTAAAGCTGTAAGCTCAGAAGTTACTTGGTTAGAAGGAAACCACTGAGACAAAGGGGACCTGTGTCCGTCCTCCCTATTTGTGAAGTGCCTCACTGCTGTTTCCAGTGAGGAAGGGTCATTTAATTCACAGAAATACTGCCGTAACCTGTGTACTACTTCTGCCTTAAATAAGAGCAATGTGGACAGTGTACGCACTTATTCAAGTTTCCTGTCTAAGCTCCAGCTTTGGCTTCCACGCAAGGTCCCAAATCAGTTGCTGACTTGGAGCGCTCCTTGGCTCCGTGCTGCATCCCGCGCTGAGGCGCTGCCGTCCCAGTCCTCTGGCCAGGCCGCGTTTCCGTGCGCTGCGCTCCCTGCATCCACAAAACAGCCGGGTGGCTTTTCCAGCGGTGCCGTGGGAGCGACGAGGCCGAGGGGTCGGACYAGACTCTCTGGCTGGGGACTGAGGACAAATCTGAGGTGCTGGCAGAAGGGAGGAACAAGCGAGGTGCCAGGCAGGGAGGGGAGACCCTGTGCAGGTTGTCTGCCGAGGACAGAGGAAAGGATGGTCAATGCTAGAGATGGATCCTTATGCTACCTGAACGCTAATGGTGTGGCCTGTCTTGTTTTTTATAGGCTTAGCAGGTCCTTATCATTGTATCAGCTCAAATGAAGGTAAATATGAATTGACTTACAATGATTTTGACACATCGATGTGGAAATGTTGCCTCAAGACAAACTCAGCTGCTCAAACGTAACACGAAGTGCTTTGTAGCATCTGAACTTTCACTGCTGTGTTTCTCCCTGCTAGTTGGAAATGCAGCTCTGTTTGCTTGGAGAACTTGAGGGATTCCAGCAAGGACTCGATGGCCGAGATGAACCACCTGTGCCAAGGGCTGACGGGCCTGCGCAACCTGGGCAACACGTGCTACATGAACGCGGTCCTGCAGTGCCTCTGCAGCATGTCCCCCCTCGTGGAGTACTTCCTCTCGGGAAAATACGTGGCCGCCCTGTGCAAGTAAGTTGATTTATTCACACTGATTAGATTTCTTACTGTTATTTCTGGCCCACTGATGATTCTTACTGCTTTCTACTATCTGCAAAGACTCTTGAGCCAAACAACAGAAGCAGAGTTGCACTTATATGTATTTTCTAAGTTTGTCTGTTGTACTCCTGTTTGGAAGGAGAGCTACCACATTATCAAACTTTACCTGAAACTTTCGTTTATTTTCTTTGAGGGAGAACGGYGAGTCTGCGACTGCCTTTGGCTACCTGATGTCGGACATGTGGCTCGGGGAGTTTGACTGCGTTTCCCCAGAGGTTTTTCGTTCGGTCCTCGGGGAGCGGTACCCGGCGTTCACCAAGCAGACTCAGCAGGACGCGCAGGAGTTTCTCATCTGTGTGCTCAACGAGCTCCACGAGGCTCTCAAGAAGGTGAGAGCCCACGGGGACCGTCGGGGCTGGCGCTGTTTCCGCTGCTGAACTGCTGCGCAAGTCGGAGCTCATCCCTCAGACACTTGTGTTTGACATTGGGAGTGAGAAGCTGCGGGAGGACGAGGGAACTACCCGGGTGACTGAAGCACCCTGTCTGTGTGTGACCAATGCTGCCAAGCTATTAGGGAGCTGGAAAGAGGTGCTGATAAACAGCACTGGGAACAAAACTGTTTCGATACTGGTTATGCCAACTTGTTCTTTTAGCTGGAGCCTCTAACTGGTTCTTTACAAACCAAACCACAGCTCTGGACAGTACCTGTAAGTATTGCTGCAGCTGATGAAAACCCTGGGACTTTATAATCAATTCACAGACATTTAATGATTTACTGTCACGTTAYAAGAGCCTGTCCCCTCCCTCCTGGGCATCACAAGGGTGGCAGCTTGCAGTCATGAACCATCTTGYTTAGGGAAGGTCTTAGTAATGGGGAGCATGGAATAGTGTAGATTAAAGAGATTGTGTAGAAACAGTCTTACTGTCCATAGACTTTCTTGAAGAATTGTTAAGTATACGATGAAAAGTTTAATGGCATGAGGAGCTGTAATTCATTTTGTTTCTTCTGCTAATTTAATTGCCAAGACACATGAAACTCAATCTTGTGAACATTAAAAGCTATGAAGGCTCCTGCGAAACAGTGGGTTACCTGTATTTTACTGATTTTTTTTTTCCTTTCCTCCTTTTATAGTCAAGCAGCCGAAGATGCCAAGGAAATGCAACTGGTGCAAGAGAAAACAGAGCGATCGCTGGTGAAACATCTATTATCACACAGCTATTTGAGGGCCAACTCAGTTACGACATTACGTGCCTGGAGTGCGAGACCACCACTGACAAACCCGAGATCTTCACGGTTCTYTCTCTCCCCATCCCCTCTGAGAGGGCGTGCTCTCTGCAGGTAGGACTTCCAGTAATGGTCGTCTCTACTTGAGACGGGAATAGGGAGCCTGGACTAATACGRATTATTAGGAAGCTGCAGGCTTTTAGGTACTTTGGATCCCTGGGGCCCAAAGGATACTCTTCAGAGTGGGATCAGGTTCTGGGCTGAGGTGGGTTTCTCAACCAGCCTGTAGCCTGTGTGGGGGCTGGTGACAGCTGGGAGGGTTGTCCCAGACCTGCCATGGGGTGGAAGACATTTGAAGAACTGTTTGAAAGCAGCTGTGAGTGATCAGGAGCCTCGCTGTGTCACACTTCAATTTGCAGAAGCAATGGGAAAAGATCTATTGATGTTATTTATTTATTCATTTATTTGTTTGTTTTCTCCCGACAGGACTGTCTCAAATGCTTCTTTCAGCAAGACACACTGACTTGGAACAACCAAATCCATTGTTCCTGGTGTGGGACAAAACAAGATGCTGCAGTGAAGGCCAACTTAACCAAGGCACCAAAGATAATTATTTTTCATTTAAAGAGGTATAGTTTACATATGGGAGGGATTTGTGAGACATCATGGACAGTCACTTGTATTGGGATTAAAATCACTAGATATGTTTTTTTTTTAGTATTTTTGAAACCTGGGGGTTTCAAAATGGATAATTAGATGAGTATTGACAAAAAACCAGAACCATCATACATTCAAGTTGCATTCCTGACATCTCAATAAGTACTTTTTGTCTTATTTTGTGCTACACCCCGCTTAAATGCTCAGTCTGTGTATGGTTCAGCTTCCCAAATATATTTATGTATCATAAAACTATAACATATTTGTATATCTCTTTTAATACACTCTTCCCTTTACATGCAGAATTTAGCTTGTGTTCTCCCACATCACTCTCTTGGCCACACTATAAAAGATTAGGAGTACAGCATTGTAATTAAATGTTCCATAGTAAAGAGGCATTGATCTTGGCAAGAAAGACGAGTTGTCAGTGATGAGGCAGTCCAAACCTTGCAGGACACACTGAGGCTCATGCAGAGCTTTGACTTCTGTCTGCTCTTGGCATCTGTGGCCATTTCAATAAGCAGAGCATCCTGAAGCTTAATAAACAGAAGCATCCTGAAGCTATTTACTTTTTTTGCTAAACATCTCCTGTGGGTTTAGTGCACTGTGTGTTGGTTTACGACAATGCTTACCAGGACTACAGGTCTTTGAGACTGCTGGGTAGTTGAGTGTGGTTTATTCCTTCCCTTTTCCTAGGGTAGCCATGAAAGAAACTCCCCCAATTCAAGACAAAGGTGACCGTTATTTAACGTAATTCCATTTTTAATTTCAGGTTTGACTGCCAAGGCACCTACAAAAAGAAGCTTTTAACTGACATTTGCTACCCGCTCAGCAACTTGGACCTGTCTCCGTACAGCTCGCCGCTCTTCCGCAGGAACTGCAAGTACAGCCTGTGCGCTGTCGTGGTGAGCTCTGCCTCGGGCACGGCGGCCGTCGCCTCCGTTCCGGGCACTCCAGAGGCCCGAAAARCAAACCCAAACAGGACAGCCCTAGCCCTGCTCTGCCTCCCCTGGCAAGCGTGTCTGCTGAGCTGAAGCGCTTCCTGAATCAAAAGGCCAATAATAAAAATTAACCCATTTCTCGTTAGTGCGAGGGTGGGACCCGCTGGAGTCCGAATACTCCATTTGGTCCCCTGTAATCACTGCAGTCAGTCTGTGTGAGAGGATGGTCCCACTTTGCYTGGGTAATGAGACACATGCCTAAGAAGAGTTATAGTTTTAGAATTATAATTTAGCATATTTATAAGTGATGTTAAACTTGTATGTTCCTGATGTACATTTTTCCTGGGGGTGTTGATTTTTCATACATGCAAATCCTTATGTTCCACAAACACTGTAATACAGTAACAGTCTGTAGCCAAAGAGGAGAAAGGTCATTATTCACATCTCTCCCCCTGATATCCCAATTTTACAAAGTGCCCAGCACTGCGAAGCTGCAGCTTCCTCAGCCTCCCCTCAGAAGCTCTCGCTGCTCCTGCACGGCCCTTGTCTGTGAGTGAGGAACCCGCAGTCTTTTGTACCGTAACTTACTGCAAGCCATGACCTGCTTGCAGTAACCCGTATCAGGACTACTAGCTGGGCTGCAGTTTTAACACTGCAAAATAGAAAAGCACAATCATCATCTGTGGACTGCTTACTGCACTTTAAAGCATTTGTTGGAATTAATAATCTTCCTTGTAGGCCAGAGGGAGCTAGAATGTCCCTCCCACCTCTCCCACATGCAGACATCCCACGTAAGAAATGATGGCCATTTCCTAGCATTGGCTGCCAGGACAGGGAGAATCTTCTGTTTTAAGGAACCCTGTTGCTTGTTGCAGAACCACTTTGGCTTTCTGGACGGCGGCCACTACACGGCGTTCTGCAAGCACTCGGTCACCAAGGGCTGGTTCAGCTTTGATGACTCACAGATCACGGCGATCCCCAGCTCCTCCGTGCAGACTGCTGCAGCCTACCTCCTCTTCTACACCTGCCAAGCCTTCTCTGCACCCACCAAAAGCCACTAGCAGTGACTTAACAGTGAGTAAGCCGGTGATCCGAGTTCATTGGCAGCATTAACTCAGTCCTGTTTCATCAATAAACAACAAGTATTTGCATTACTGGATAATATGCTGTGATCTTTTAGGAGGTAATTTCTATAGCAAACTCTGAAGTTCTGGCTTTCAAGCCCATTGAGGAACATATAGCAGTTCCATTTGCCTATGGCCCAGCATTTATGTTAATAAATAAATAAATAAATAATAAAAAAATGCTGAGTCTATAGAAGCACTCGATACCTAAAAAATCTTGTTTCTCTGTTATTTGAATGAAGGTCCCTTTCAGAAACTGACTGTAGGCTACTAAGGTGAAAGCAGAGACCCCTGGGGCATTTATTTCAGAAAACAGCAGGGGATGAAGCACTCACTAAAGACAAGACAGAAAAAAGATGCTGTTATACACATTATTTTTGTTCCCCCAGCATCTCTAGCTCCTTCCCCAGTTGTAAGCTCCCAGTAAACAATCAAACTTGCTCTTAATTCCATTAGTGAAATATATGTGTGTAGATAAAAGCCTAGATTTAAGAGTTATGAAAAGCAAAACTAAAAACAAGATCAGAGAAGTGCATAAGGTGCAACTCTGTCTAAAAGTGTGTTAGATTAGAAAATACRTTTTTTTCATCTGAAGAATCTCTAAACTTTGTGAACACAAGTTAGACGAGGCCTTACGTAGAATTCTGACCACTATACAAAGGGTAGTAAATGAAAACACAGCCAAATGTGTATTTAAGAGGATATTATATTTTTAAATAATTTCTTCATTAAAGTTTTTAATGCATGTGTACATGAAATATTAAAAATTAAAAAGGAAAGTACACAAATAGTGACAAAAGCTAACAGAAGGATACAGCTCTGCTTTTTTTTATTTAGTAGTGTTGCTATTACTTAGAGCTGGCAAAGAAGCAATCCTCTGAGTTTAAGGATTCTCACAAAAAGGACRACAATTTATTATATACATAGTTTTGATGTGCAAGTATGCAATCAATATGTACACTTACATTCCTAACTGTTTACATCATTCTAGAGTATTCACAGTAGAATCAAGCTTAAGGTTAGAAATGTGAAAAGGCCATAACAGTGAAAGAAAAAAAAACTCAAGATATGCCTTGGGATTTTAAGACATTTTGAACTACTTATTATTAGATTTCAAATTACTAGTTTAGAATTGAATTTGGGAGCAGGCTAACAATATAGCTGTTTTTAAATAAATGGTAATGCCAGTTTGCCTTGTAAATGGTCTCACAGATGGCAGAATTACCACAAGCATTTGTTTAAACAGTCTTCAGCTTTAAGCAATAGTACTGCTGCTGCAACCATCCCCATGTTCTGTAAGTGACTCTGTTTGTCACAATTTTGCATATTTATATGCATTCCCATAGCTATTTTGCTCTTATACAAGGAATCTTATTAGAATCATTTTTCTTAAACAACACTATTTTATGTGGCTATATCCACCGCCCTCTGTTCATAAGAGGTGTAAAAGAGAATATATGCAGCTGAGGATTTCACAGATGACGCTGAGATCTCAGATACTTCATGGTCATCAAACTTAAACCAACGTTGTCTTGCAGCATTTTTGCAGTAGGCTGTATAGTGTCCTCCATCCAACCCTCCATAATGATTCTGTACAACAAAAGAAGAAAAGAAGTGATGGCCTTGAAAGCTGCCATTAATTCCCTGGTTAGGATAAGAAACTGGAATGTGGGATTTCTGACAAAAAAAAACAAAATCTCTCTTAGGCCTGCAAGTTCATTTGCAACCAGCAGGTGCCTTGAAACCCAGACAATCACACAAACTGACATAAAGACCAGGCAAGTTTTGGAGTGTGACATGTTACTTACTGAAACTGAAAACAGATTGTATCTCTTCAAGTTATTCTTTGGACCAATAACATACTGCGACAGGTCAAGAGTTTCCAATGGGAAATCTACAGATGTTTGAAGCTTTTGCTTCCATCTTCCATCATAGGAAAATCTACAGAATTAAGAAGCATTATTGTAAGTTACAGGTTTTTCACAATCTACCAAAGAACACTGAGTTCACTGTCTCTATTTTTAACCTGGATACAATCCCAACTAAAGATGAAACAGTCAGAGAGAACTTTGCTGACAGTCCTGTTAATACCTGCACATGTATGTTTCTTATTACAGAAAATTTAAAAGGYGACTAGAAGTGTTCTGTGAATTACAGCCCAGCAAAACAGGCATCAACTGAAAAATAAAATTCTCACAGCATTATAGATGGATATTCAAYGTATAAGATTCTCTAGTTAAAAACGTTTGCATTACAGCAATCTCCATGAAGTCTAGTCATCTTATTGGAGCCCCCYGGTCACCACCCATGCCATACCTTTTCAAGTGCACAAGAAGAACAGGTGGTAGTTTCCAAATTTCTATTTTTTTCAAAGAATCCCTTCGAGTTTTGCAATGGCTACAGTAAAATCTATTGTTATCCGTGAGCTTTTCCTCCTTGGAGAACAGCCTAAGGCATTCCTAAAACAAGACAGGGGAAACAGATTGTAAAGGGCAGCTGTTCAAGAAAGTGCAGCACAAAAGGTTTTTTCCTGTTGGGCTGTTAATTTGCACGATCCACCTGCATTCTCTGTTCTGCAAAGATGAGGAAGGCAGAGGTAGATGCATGTGCGGAAGTAGCTTTTAGTGCATACCTTAATTAGGCACAAGTCTTTCAAAATGGACTAACAATGTTTTGTTTAAAACAACAACAAAAACATTCATACTATGACCTCTAAAGACAAATACTGTAAGTATTAAGTCTTTTTTGCCACTGCAACTTAAGGATTTCCATGCTGCTTGTGTTTTAAAACTTTTTAAGAAATATCTTTTAACTTTAGGAGAAATGAAAGACACATTCATGTTTTAGGTTAGTGTAAATAAAGCTGGAATTAAGCTGAACAGAAGCAGCATTCACAATAACARAATTGTGAAAAGTTTTTACTGTGCAAGCTGTTTCTCTCTGTGCCACCTTACCTGCAGCGTACATTTACTGGTGGATGCAAGGGGTAATGACAAGTACATGAACGCCTCGAATGTCCGGGACTTCTTGTGACACGTAAGACACTGCACTGTGGACTTGAACTGGCCTTGAAAGAGTGCAACAATAATGGATTCATTGAGCTGTTTGTGTTTGTGCCAAGCCAGCTCCGCTGCTCTGAAGTCATCAAGATGATCGTTGTTTTCTTCCTTGTGTCTCTTCCTATTGTCTGCCTGAATAACAGAAACTTAAGTAACTTTTTTTTGTATGTTAACATGTGATAAAGATGTCAAAGAAACGGGCTTTCCCACCATGGCACAGATCAAGTAAATTGCGACCTCTTCTTTGTCTTCCTATCCCTTTATTCTATAAACCACAGCATCTTTGGCTTCAGCCTCTTCAACTGCATGGCCAGAAGTAGCCCTAAAGCTTCCCTCTGCAAGGGCCTCCTGACAGGTGATGCAAAACTGAGTAGACCTCAAGACTTCCCATTGTACAATTCCTTTATGTACATAATAGAGGGAAAGCAAACTCCTGTTTGAGCAACTCTGGGACCTCCTGGACAGAGGAAGGAAACAGGACTCTATTTAGCAGCAGGTAAAGCCAACAGAAATGCTTGCTCAAGCATACCCAGAAGGTGTTTTAAAATAAATAAATAAACAAGTTTAAATCTTTTTGGCCTAGCATAAAACTTTTTCACTTAATTCCCCTTATGAAGTAAAAAGCTTTTAATTTTACTCTCAATCATTTGACAGGTATATAAATAATTATACGTGTATTACTTACTTTATTTAGGTCTTCATGCAAGCCATCCATTAGAAAGAGGAGCAGTTCTTGGGAGTCCTGCTGGCTGTATCCAGCAAATTGGTCATTAATCTTCCCAATTGTAATTTTAAAATCTTTTGGACTGATATATTTATACTGTCCTGTCCACAAAGCTTTCATTATTACACCAAACTCTTCAGCCACTTCACCTTTATGCCCCAGGAAGTTTGACCTGTACAATTTAACAGACATAATATATAGTGAGTCATTCCAATAAGATATTATTAATTCAAAACTTGATCCCAATTTTAGTGTAATTTCTTTACACGCAGAATAACTACCTCTAGGACTGAACCACAATTTTTGTCTWCTTTGATACGATATAATTTACAGAGTTCCATTTACAATTAGTTCCATATTCAAAACTGGTTTGGTAGAAGGAACAAGTATTTTCAGCTTGCTTTGTAAGCTGCTACGCACATGTTTTGGCTGACTCAGAGGCCTCAACGTGGTGAGCATAATTTAAGTCAGCTTGTCTAGTTAAGCCTCTTTGGTCCCACATCTGAATTCCAGGAAACTCAAAGATTTGAAACTAAGTGTTTGCTTTCTTAAAACCCCTAGGCCCACTGCCTGTTTTTTATATATTAATGATTGTAAAAAACATTCTTTCTTCAATTATAAATTAAAAGAGGAGAATAAGAAATTGTTACCTGTTAATATCATCTTGATACAAGTTTCTGTTGAAATAATCAGCTAGATGGGGTGCGTTGCACAAACACTGTAATATGGAATTCATATAGCAAGTGTTCCCTAGATTACGAAGTCCGGTCAGAGCTGGTCCCGATCCCCCAAACACAGGGTTGAGATTCCGAATTTGTAATGCGGAGAGTCTTGAAATTTCAGGTTTAGCATAACAGACCGGTCTGTAAGGAAGAAATCATTATTTTTAACTGCTCTCAGACGTGGTGCTGTGCAAGGCACGGTGCAGCGCTCCGCGTGCCGTGCAGCTACCCGGGCCCTACAGCCCGCTCTGCTCGGAAGCTCGGAGAGCAGCGTGTTTGCTAGAGCGCGGCAGGAGGCAGCTGATTGGCTGCTGTCCTGAGCCGGCTTCTCCAGCCAAGCAGCGTCAACGGGCTCTGGAGAGATCCCTGGTTTTATCCCTGCCTAGAGAGGTGGTCTCACAGCATGAATGAACACAGGAAAGCAAGACTGTGCACAAAGCTTAACAGGACAAAACTTAACTCTCCCTCATCGGATACGAAATACTCTAGCACAGGAATTCACCAAATCCATCATTTAAGGTACTCAAGACTGATCAATGCAATAATGAGAAATCCATACATAACTGGCCTACAAGAAGGCTGAATTACAGAGTAAAATTATTTCTAAATTCATAGATGAAAAATGAACTTAGTTATTTAACTACTCAGTTTAAAACTGAATCTCTTCCATTTTACAAGTTGTCAGAAGCCTTGACACAAGTACTGCCACCCAGGAAGCAACTATTGGCCAGTTAACACTGTGTGCTCCAAAGTTCATGCAACTGGATGGTAACTGGAGTCTCGGAAGCACATTCCTTTTTGAACGTGCAGCAATGCAAGGCTGTCAAAGAAGCTCCTGCATGCCTTTGTAAGGTGCTTAGAAATCATTAATGGATAATTTTGGATAAAAGGTAACATAGTGCCTGAGCTGTGATGCTATAACTTGTCAAACCTACTTATTTTCACGATTGACTGTAGGGGTCACAGGAATTCTTCTCTTCTCTTCCTCCTGAATGGCTTGGGTTATATCTGGGGAGGAATAGGAGCGCTTCAGTTTGGAGTGTTCTCTTTCTCGTTCAGCAGCCACCTGTGGCTTGGGTTTATGGGTTGGCGGGGTAGATGGAGGAGTGGATGAAGGAGCCATTTCTGGTGGGTACATGTGAACGGTGTTTGTCGGCGAGTGATAATATCGAAAGGTTCCTGTGATTGGATCCAGAAACTTGGGAAAGAAAAATAAATTGTTTCAAAGCCAGGTAAAAAAAAATCATTAACTTGCTTATCTAGATATGAGCCCGAATTTTTCAAACACTGAGATGTTACAGTAGTGACAGACTCAATGCTTAGGATTAAATTTAGTGGAAGATTACTTATAACAAAATAAACAAGCAACAGATCAGTATAAAAAGCTGCTGATGAATTCCACTTGTTTCATTAAAAATTAATGTTAAGATTCAGAAAATAACTGGGAAAAGAAATTAAACAAGATTAGATCAAACTCAGAAATACAAATTACATGAAAATCACTACAAGATTGCACAGATTTCAGAACAGAAAGTTACCTTTGCCCAGCCTGGAGGCAGTCCTGGTATTATCCTTCCCATTTCCTCACTTCTCGCTCTCATTAATGGCTCCCGCTGAGACTAGTAAATGCAATGGAAATGTAAGGTATGTACAGTTAGTTATGCAGAGGAACAATCTGTATGTGACTTCTCTTGTAGTTGAATGATTTTTACACAAAACAGCTCAATAAGAAATCCTTGATTACAGCTAGAAATGTGATTTATTTTTGAGCAGCAACATGGCAATAAGCACCTTCCCTAAGGCAGCCACTTTATTAGGAATACATGCTTCGGTTACGAGGATGATCTTGTCCCCTTTCCAAAGGGGGATGCAAGCGAGTATGAATGACATGATGAACACATGTGGAACACTTTGTTAATGCCCATCAAAAACATAAAATGATTTCCAGTGAAAATTTCAAATATATTTTTTGAAAATGAATGACGAATGTAAAAAGCAAATGCAACTGTAGAATACGGCACAGTCTTTTCCTAAGCAGAAGACCTTTGAAAATTAAAATGAGATGAAATTTAGTGTAATATGAGATAATAAAGCATCTATATTTGTATGTTTTAGCTACATACAACACATTGCATTTACTTTAAGTCTTTCAGTATCTTGTTCAGAATCCTCTCTAACGGCTCCTGGCTTTTGAGCTCCACTGTCTGGTTCTCCTTTAACCCCAGTTTGCTGTAAAAGATTTTGAGAGAAGGCTTTCAAATTTCATGTGGGATGTCAGTAAAGAAGGCCACTAAAGCAAAATTGGGAAAAAGCAGAGTTACTTTTCTCCTGTTAAGTTCAAGTGGCACCTGCTCTTACCAATTCTTGGTATCCACAAATAAACTGATCATTTTTATTTTTCCTATATAACAATTCTTTGAAATAGCCTTTACAGATGAATTTTGTGTTCTCCACAATTTTGTGTCACTCTTCACAATAAAAACCATGGATTTTATAATTTGTTTAGATATAAGACTAGACTTCATAAGTAGCCCTTTCTTCCACAATCARATGAATATTTTATACCTACAGATTTTGGAAATTCTTCATGGGCCTCAGGAAAGAAGGAAATGTGACTTCAGAAGATTTGGAACCGGGCTGCTATCAACCAGTATACTAGCTTAGGGTATCACTCTGCTTCCATGTAAGTCAACGAAATAATCCCTTTGTTGTGTCAGTATTTAGGTATTAGAGAGCTTGTTATGATAATACGATTTGAGTCCTTTACTAGAATGTRTTACAGTAATACAGCATATACTAGGGGCTGACATAAGAGACTGCATGTTAACCACGTCTCTATACCTGACACAAAAAATAGCAGCCCACGGGCCATCCCTTCTATTTCCATATCTGTGGGAAGTTTTTTTGTTTTGTTTTGAATCCTATGGGAATCCTATGCTGTCCATCTAYAGCAAGGCTCAAAGTGCTCTAAGCTCTCTGTAAAAATCTACCCCATTGGGTCCTGTTTCTAAGTTACTCCTCTGTATTTATGTAAAAAYGGCAGGCATAAATAAAATTCAAATATACTTGGAATTTCCAGATTTAGACTATACTATTCACAAATCATACAAATCATACTTCAAGTTTGGTGATGATTTTCTCTTTTCTTACTAACCTTGCCTGAGGTGGTCACAAAGGTCTGAGATGCATCACCCAGGGCACTTCTCTGCATTTCTGGTGTTCTGGTTCCCTTTTCTCTTTCTTCCATAGATATTTTTTCAATTTCAATACTTYTCAAATCAATACTTTCTGGTTCATTTTTGTTTTGCTTTTTCGCTTCTATTACTTCTTTCTGTGCTGTCTCTTTTTCTTTTTCTTCCCGTTCTTTTTTTATCTGTTCTTCCCTGTCCTTTTGTTCTCTCTGCTCTTTGGCTTGTTGCAGCTTTTCTTTGTATTCCTTTTCTTTCTTCTCTTCCTTTGCTTTTTGTTCCTGTTGTTCTTTTTCTTGCTTGAGTTTTTCTTTCTGTTCTTCTTGTTGCCTCTCCCGCAATTCTTTTTCCCGCTTGTTCTTCTCTAGCATGGCAGCAGTTTCTGCGTGTATGCGACTTTTTTCTTCTTCTGTCAAAATGTTCTTTGCATCATGCAGGGGCTTTGTGGACCGGTCTGGAATGATGCGTCCATTCTCAACAGGCTGGCTGTCAGTGATGGTGCTCTCAGATTTTGGTCTGTTATCACTGGGCTGTTTTAGTGAAGGCTTTTTAGTGCGATCAACCTGTTAACACCAAGTGTGGAACAACAAATTCATTATTCACTATCTCTGCTAGCTAGTTTTTCAGCTAGAAAGTTTTCTAAGTGAGATTTGCAAGAGACTAAAGATCAAGTCTAGTTCTGTCAGAGAGGTCATGAACTTTCAACTTCAGCAACTTTTATTATTCAAATTCCTTATTAAGGAAATTGGGTATTCACTTTATTTTCAGCTAGGAAATAAGAGTTACCAAGCCCTACAGAATGGTAAGGATGGTATGAAGCACTCCTTACTACAACTCAATCTTTTACTTTCAAAGGTGAACCTTTTAGGGCAATCAAGCCACCCTAATTGGGGTGTGGTGCTCTCAATTGTACTTAAGCAGATCTGCTCAKTGAGGAGAGGTATTTAAGATCGTCCTGCGGTTAGACCTAGGAGAGCAGGTTGTGTTGATAGTGAAAGGGAGGAGTTAAGTAAGAATAGAGATCATTTTTGAAGGCTAGAGTCTCTTGGATTAAAATCTTAACTTAAAGGAAGCACCTAAAGGAAAGTTAAGAAGTTTGTCTCCCTCCTGTGCTTTAGTAAAAGAGCTTTACAAAGGTTTTTTTTTTGTTTTGTAAGAAAGTTTGTTTCCTGTAAAGGCAAGGAACAAMTAGGGGAATAATGTGTCATATAAGGAGAGTACTGAGAGACTCCATGGAATGTTTCAGGAAAAAAAATGGGCCTTAAAACAACYAAGGTAAGACCTCCTTTCTGCCTATTACGTACCATGTACACTCTGAGTAGGTAAGTTTGTTTACAGAGTTTCTGAACTAGTAATTGTTGACCCCCAATTTCTCAGCTACCCATGACAAAATCTTCACTGAAAGCTCTACAAGTATGTTCAATATGTCCAGGTTAATACAGCTCTGGGGATTATCTACTGTAGTTTCACAGACCACCAGTGGTCTCTGCCTTGCTGTACTTATATAATTCAGTATTTGGAAAAACAGTTGTTGAAAATATTTCTCTATGAATTTAGGCTTCTACAATTAGTGGCTCTCCAGTGGCTTAGCATTACACTAACACTGATTTAAAAAACACAGTTTACCTCAGGGATGCTTCTTGTAATTGGTACTGGATGAACTCCAGATAAGCTGTCAGATTTGGGAATAGTTGCAGCCTGTGCACTTGGTCTGTTAAGAGATTTTAGTCTCTCTTCCAAATTACTTCCTGTTTCTTCATTCTCAGCTACTTCTATTGGAGTTGGCTTTATAGCAACAACAGGTGGAACAGGAGCYGGCTCCTCCAGAGATGGATAAGTAAAATCCACTAGAGAAAGAAAAAGCCAAGAACAAGGCTATCAAAAATATCCTTGAGCAAATTAACGTTACAAAATAAAGTATGAACGTTGAAAGAAGAGTCATTCTTTATACTTACAAGAAACAGTCACTGCTTCTCTCCTGCCGTGCTGGGGTGGAGTTACTTTAGCATTTGTGGTGTACTGGGGAAAACAAAGGAGCCAGTTTTCATAGCCTCCTTCTAGGATTAAAGGCTCATTCTGCAGTAGAGGTTGGCTTTCCCACTTTAAGGAAAAAGGTTGAAATTAAGTGAATTTAAGAAATGGCAAAGGAACTTTTAAACTCTTAACTTGTAGAAGTTTCTGTGTCTAAAGAGAGTGGTTCTGGAGAGCAGCTTTGCAGAGAAGGACCTGGGTGTCATGGTGGATGACAAGTTGACCATGGGGCAGCAGTGCCCTCATGGCCAAGGGCATCCTGGGGTGCATTAGGAGGAGCGTCTCCAGCAGGTTGAGGAGGGRATCGTCCCTTTTTACCTATAGCATCCTCCTGTCTTTTTACCTACAGCATCATCTATTTTTTTTTCTTCCTCAAAATAGAATTACTTATTACTAGTTCTGGTAACAATCATCCACACACAACAAATGTTTATATTTGCTTCAGTTTTAGTGATAAACCTGCTGTGTGTTTAGAGGCACTAGCTTTAGAAACTAAGACATTAACTTTCTKAAAAAGTCTGGGGAGCCCAGGCTCAAGACTGGTTTCATCCTGAGATCTTCAATATTAGGGCGTGAAGAGGCACAAGATTCCCAGTCAATTCTGTAAAGCAATAGACAGGGAGAACTGCCTGAATCTCTGAAAAAAAGTTGTGCACTCTCCTGCTATCAAAATAATCAATCTTGGGATATTTTAGCAAATATCTCGATTCAGTTTAAGTGTCTCATATTCCTTGTAATTAGAGATACTTTCAGAGCTTCTTATTTTGTGGGATAAATACAAAAAGCAAAGCTTGCCAACCTTAAAAAGTGCATCTTTCAGGCTTTGCAGTGTTGTTCCAAGCTTTAAGTCTTCTGCAGAACTAAACCAGTCTAGCAGTATAACATAATCAAAATGTCCTCTCCTCTTCCATGGATCTCTAGAATCCTCTGGGAGTCGAGCTTCAATCCAACTTGTGGTAACTCTGCAATGTATTCACATACACTTACAGATAAACGTACAAGTAATGGTTTGAGAAATAATCCACCTACATTTATATGCTTGTATCTGTGGATAAAATGCATCTGTTCTGGCTTAAAGTCAGTACMCTGAAAAGCAAAGCTGTCGAGATCTATCTTGCCACATACATCAGGGACTCCTAAACCAAGTGAACAAGCTTTAATAGCACATAATCCTTCTAAAGCAGTGATTTCTTCCCAGCCCCCCCCTCAGTCAGTTTACGCATGGGGAAGAGAAAAAGGCAGTATTTTAAGAGATGTTAAGTATCTGACTATTATTTAACATTATTCCATACCCAGGACTGATTGCTTCTTCTGGGACGCTGATAGATCTTGGAATACAGGATTCTTGATAATCTTTCAAGCTTCGAGTGTCCATTATGATCAGTTCAATGTTTTTGTCTGTCATCATTGCAAACAGTTTCTCAGCAGTGACTGCTCCTTGAGATACAAAAGTTATTATAAGCAAAAAGCTACTTTATAAATGGAGATAGTTATAAACACATCTCACTCCAAGTCAACACTGCAAGTGAATGAAACAAGATGAAATAGATGAAACAGAACTTGTCTCGAGAACCCATTCATGGATGCTCTTTGAAATGGTCATGAAGGTGAGATATTGACTCCTGTTGTTTCCACTGCTCTAGCAGTGGATGTGCTGAATTAGGCAATATGGAACACTTTCATGATTAGTTAAGCTTTCTGTGATTTCATAAAAATCAAGCTGTACAGTTGCAAATGCATGTCAAACCGCATGTTGCAAATGTTTCTTTGCTGTTTAACTCTACAGGACAAGCTCATATTTACTAGATAAGCAAAAAAGAAAAGTGGAGAGAAGAGTGTGAATAGGACTTCTCATTTAACTAGGAAAGATGACACATCTCAACCTTGGCTAATCTTTTTCCCATCATTTGAAGAAATACTTTGTTTCTACTCTGACCATCCTTGGATCAATTCAGCTTTAATTTTTACACTGTATTGAAAAGTTGAAGGCAGTTTAAGTTCAAGAGAAGTGATGATGGCTGTAACAGGGCTTTAATTGCTAAGTTACTATTACCAAAATGCAGGATACCAGTAAYTTCAGCAAATAGCTTTGTGAACTTGCTCTTTCTATGAAGAACTGCAAAAGTGAGAGGTGCACACGTATACAGAGCCACTTTTTACAGTGGTGGGAACATATATCTCTTACCACTCAGACTGTCAGACTGATCGTTTTTTTCCAGGGAATGTGTCTTCTCACCATTGATCTGTGTTGACAGAAGAAGACAAAAAAAAGGTGTAGGGGTAATCTCAAATTTAGACAGCAGCCACTGATTCTCACAGAGCTGGAAGGAAACTGGTCAGACTAAAAGTCACAGAAGAAACCCAAGTAGAAGATGCCTCTTTCAAAGTTATGTTGACAATATCAGAAAGATAAGTGTGGCTGCCTGCCTAGATAGAAAATCAAAAAGATGGGACTATATCATCTACTAGATGAAATTATTAAAGGTCTGTGGAGAGATGAGTTCCTCACTATGCTATTGCTCTTAAAGAGAAGGCAAGTAAAAAAGTGATCTATATTATCAGCTCTTACCACGCACAATCCTTGGGCTTCTCATGCAAAGTAGCTCTGGCAATGGCAATAAGTCTATTTTTACTATAAACACAGTTTGAACTGGTAAAAAGCTAGTCTATTTTCTGCACATCTCAGAATTCATTCCAAAGAAATCTCCAAGAAAAGTTTCAGGGAGTATAAAATGATGAWTATAAAGAGAAAAAGCTATTAAAGAACAAAATAGCAATGATAACAAACAACCTAACACCCTAATCTTGAGTTAGAAATGTTACTGAAAYCAAATGCTAGATCAAAACTATATATTCAAAGTGAATTAGAGAATTTGTAGTTGTTTTTGATTACCCTTTGGCTTTTTCCTTTGGAATCTGCTGAGCTTTCTGAAGAGTTCTTGGCTGAACCCTTTCCATCATCTTTCGTTTCTTGCTTTTTCTGCAGCTCTTGCCTATCTCTCTCTTCAAGTTTTTTCCGAACTTCAGCTTCCTCATATCTATTAGGAAATTAGAAAATTGCATTTTTTAGCATCAAAAGCATTAAGTCTCTTAATAGGAGGAGAAAAAAAGTTCAAATGTTGTGAAATTACTTTTTTTATCAAACTTTCCCTTCCTGATGTCTTGATCTGATGAAAACTATTATAARGAGATAGCTCCTTTCTAAATCACATACAGTTTATATCCTGAGGTTTCATTTCATTAGAGATATCAAAAAAAGAAACAGGAGGAGGTATCAACAAATGATAGTTGCCAATAATTGAGGGCATACAGATAGTGGCAAGTTATTGAAATGTGTAAAAAGAAAAACTCTAACAGACTTTCTTAGATAAACTGTTCAAGCTCTCAAGAGTTCCAGGTATCCACAAACTACTGCAAATATAACTCCTTAGCAGTGCGTAGTGGGAAAACCTGCAAATTCAAATTCAGATATAATGAACAGTATCTATGCATTATATTCACATACCTGAGTTTAAGGCTGTCTGAGAGTCTTTCGGCTTCTTCAATAGCTTTTTTTAAGTTCGTAGGTCCAAGAATTGAATGAAAATAATCCTAAAATTACAAGCAACACCACCCATATTAACAGTAGTGTTTAATAATACCTATTTCTGTATAATATCAAGAGCATCTAATTTGCAGAAAAGTGATAGGATAATGATGATAATGCCAGCCAAAGTAAATGTTTTGAATCAGGTATTTCCTGTTAAAACATTCACTAGCAAATGCAATAGTTCTTTAGTATTAGAGTGTGTGTTTGTGCATGCATGCATGGCAACCCAGCATATGCTTGTTTATTTGTCAGTGACCTGGGCCCAAAGTGAATACAACACCCTCTCTCACAAGTCCCAAACTTCTTTGCACTACACCAAGAAAGGGTTGGCTGAGATAGATTTTGTCTCTGTTATATATATTACCAGATGTGTGAATATTTTTACCTTAAATGTATCTGACCAAAGCAAACTGTGAAAACAATTAGTGACAGAGTTGCCAAAAATAGGAAAGAAGTGTCAGCACACRAGATTTACTTATTTACTATCAGTGTCATTATTTGAATGTGCATTAGYGTAACTGTCCATATTCTTTATTTCTCTGTTTCTGCCAATACAGAAGTAGCCAGTCAGAAAGCGTATGTACCTGTTGCTGTTTAAAATCAGGTCTCTTCTTAATAAAATTATAAACAGTTACATATTTCATATACAGGACGTAAGCTTTTTCTTCATCTCTGTCCAATCTGCTTTCTTCTGCCGCCTTGAAAATCTTAAGGGCACTCTGCACATAACTGAAATCAAAGAGCAGCAAGGCATGTGATTGTTGACTTACCCAAGCACCTTCCCTGCCATTCCCCAAAATGCCCTTTTAACTGTTCACAGTCTCTCCTCACCTATTTAATGTTTGCTTTACTAGCTCAGTATAAGCTTTTCCCTAAATATGAACCACAACTCTGCTCACGAAATAATGTCTCCCTTCACTACACTATTTGTTAAATGGATTCAGAACTGATTCTGAAATAATCTTCCATTGTTAAATAGCAGACTAAGATATGGAAACACACACACACACACCCCTTTTCTATTCTCAAAGCAACTACTCTCTTGCAAAACAAAGCAAACACTCCATCCCCTTATTGCACAGTAAAACAGAATGACATACTTGTCTAAAAATGCTAGAAATATTTTATGTTTCTATGTAGAATTTTAATCGCTYGGTCTTTAATTGTTTTTGTGAACTTGCATTTACCTAGACTTTTCCAAGCTTTCAAGCTTTCATGTGCATTGTGCGAGTGTGTTTTGKCAGTGGGTGAAGTTATCTGTTATAAGTAGTAAGCATATCTATTTCATAGTTGAGAAATCTATCTGAAAAGTCTAYCAAAGATTTGGTACTGAACAAAATAATTGAGGAAATTTAGGTCCACAACATAGTTATGAGTGCAGTGAACTTAGTATTAAAAAGATAATGCTATTTGTCTAAGTGTTTTTCAAAGAGAAAACTAATGAAGACCTAATACATAATGGAAATGATTTAACTTATATAAGTACAAAACTTTACTATGAATTACTTCAATTGATTACAAATTAACTATTCAAAACAAAGGCCTAGATACCTCTTTGTGCTGGTCTTTTCAGGTTTTATTTCTGTCTTCTTGTTGAGATCTTTCAATGAAGTACAGAGATACAGCTCTTTAGGTACAGATGCCACAGCAGGCATGTTAATGTTGTTACTCGTGTCTCTCCTAGAATGGGACAACTTCTTAGAAGTCTCTACCAATATTTGTCTGTTAGAAAGAAAGGTTAAAAAAAATATATATTCCATTAATTAGTTTTCRTGTAGACTGTAGTTAGCTGTAATACTTAGCCTGTCCTATTTAGTCAATTATCAGTAACATGAGACTACCTGGAATTTATGCAGTTAGAGGTTATATTATAATCAAGAATTCTGAATATAATTTGTTAGGCAATGATTTGGAGTTGTAGTACCTTGGTCTGCGTCAGTGTCAACATTCCTATGTCTTTGATATTACGCTATAAGAATACAAATRCATCTATTTAAAATGAAAATTCTGTCACCTATTCTAGGCAATTATTGTTAATACAAGTGTAAAAAGAAAATTGGTCCTAGGAGTCAGCAAAACTTCTCTGCCAGAAGTTAGAGGAATAATGTTGTAGCTCTTAAMCTACAGCTAATCATATGTAATCATTCTTTCAGGGTCCTCTTCCAGTTCTTAGTATTACTGATGTAAGCAGATTACCTGAATAGTTTAAAAACATGAATTAATCCTCCCTCCCCAAAATGACAGAATTATTTGAAACAACTTTCGGTGATTTATGAAGAACGTAACCAGTATGTTCAAACTCTAGAAGAATAATGAAATAAAGAGAAATTGGTCATGACTTACAAGTTCTAACAGTCATCCTACCTTGCATATTTATCTGACTATAAAGCCAGTTAAATATGTTATAAAACGTGTGCTCAGCTGCCTGTATTCGGAAATTTTTAATGGGTAATTTTTTATGACTCACTTGCAGCTGACCTCAAATAGCTGTTACACCCGTGGAAAGGTGACTTGTGACATCGCGGCAAGTCAAGGTGAAGGAGAAAGATTAGTGCTGGTAAAGTGATCTGAAACTTCTTGGACGTGCTTAAACTCTCATGTACTTTTGCCTTTCTGTTTCTGTGTACAAGAATTCTTTGGGCACCCATTAAACAGCTTAGATGATTCAATAATCCCCTTTGGCCAAACTCTGCTAATTTTACATTCTGCATGAATAGGCCATAAGTCTCATACAGAAAGTTTAGCTAAAATATTTGAATATATGAGGTATTCATGAGATATTCAGTAAAARACAACAAATGAACCTAAAGAATATTCCCAATCCAAAGCTTTTTTTCCTAAAATGAGGACTTGCTTTATATAATCCTACAGAACTACAAGGAAAAACTTCACTCCTATTAATATTTTAACATTGCTTGTCTAATCCTGCCTTCAGAGTGCATCTTTAACTGTCATTTTTCCTTTTTTTCCCCCTCTTGGAACTGCAAATAGACTTTTCTTTGAAGCTTTAAGTCCTTTCTAAATATATCTTCTAAGGTTGCTTTGTTATGTAACAAGTATTTTCTGAATCTTAAGAGGCGCGATTTGATTGACTTCTGACAAACTTAAGCAGGTTTTAAAACTAAGTGTGCATTCCGGAAAAGATGAAAATCATGTTACCATGTCTGTGTGTGCATGAGGAAATACAAGATTTTGAGGGAGATGCCAGCCTATCTTGCATCACTGTGTGGCTCAGCTTCTCAAGTGTTGCTGACCAGGTCTTCTAGACCTTGTCTACTTAAAACAACAACAAAAAATGTAGAACTACAGGATAAAAGAAAAACTGAGAGTTTTTAATATGAAAATCTAAGCTAACATACAACTTTAATACTTTCTCTAGACAGAAACTATTTTTTCATGTTCTTTTGTTATGAACAGCAGCAGCTATAACTGCAGGTTATAAAACTGCTAGATAGGTGCAATGCTAAATTTGCCTGTTTTTTCTGATCTCAAGAGATTTCAACACTTGTTTTTTTTTTTTTTTCCCAGACATAAGTTACTAGCCACTTGCTTGTAGTCTGTTTGTACGGTATCTCACAAAGCACTCTATTTTTTTTGACCTCACACAGCACTACTATTCACGTCAYACTGCAGTGAAATGAATGGGGATGTACTAGGAATAACTCTTGCAGGAAAAGCCAATGGATTTGCAGCAGCTTGCTTGATGGAATTACAGCATCTGTAATAAGTAAATATGAAATTTCAATCGCAGCCTCTCATTCATTCTTCAAGTAGAGAACTTAACTGGGCAACTATAGCATTTTCAGAGGATTATGCAGCAAAAATATAAACATTTCCCAACTCAAGTCTACAGACTGACCACTACTTGTCAGAGCTGACCATTCAGAATGCTAGTTCAGAMAGGCTTTTAATGTTTTAAGCTTCTACTGAACTTTAGGATGTGACTATAACTTGATTTGCCATTATACTTTTTTTCCTAAGGCAATTAACACTCCAAATTGGAGCAGAAGAGAAAGTTATAAGACAAAAATAAGAATGCTAACAAAGCCCAAATTCCTGACTTAGCAACATTTAAAAAAAAAAAAGTGACAAACTTTTTGGTTCTTTTCAGGTTGCTGAGGTCCCTAATGACAGTCACTAACTCTGACTATACTGTGTTTGGTAATACAGAGTTGTGTTTATTTAGGGTCCGACGAATGCCTCTGCTTATGACGACAGATTGACCCAAACAAAAGTTGGGGTCAAAAATAAGTTACTGTAAGAAATATTTAACTAGTTTCAGAAACATATTTGGTTCTCGTCTCTTGTCTTTCTTAGTATTGTGAAATAATAGGCAAAACCAATGCAACAACTCTTTTCTAAAACTGTAAATTAAAATTTAGGAAGCCCCATGAAATAAAAACTTACAATTCTCTTCCTGTAAGTCCAAAAAAAAAAAAAGTGAAGAAAGGGAAATGAGCTTTTTCAAACAGGCTTTTGCAGCAGAAACAGTACTGCTAATGATAGTAGTAATAAATCCAAATGCAAGTATACCCATGTATTTTAGGCAAAGTACTTTTAAAATACTGAGTGGTTAGAGCTTCCCCCTCTGAAGGGAGGCAGTCTTCCTCTCTGAAGAAGAAATGAAGGTGACAAGTGATGGGACCAAAATACCAGGTATCGGCCTGAAAAGTGTAGCGGATACAACCTTATTCATGGTTGTACTCACTCCCAGTTCTCTCTCCTCTTAAGTATTACCATGTGTTGGGGGCAAGCCTGTGCCTCTAGGCTGGGTGCTCCATAGCAGCTAACATCCATACTATTTCATCAACAACTCTACTGTTCTTCCCTCTCTCTTAGCATAAGGAGAGACTCCCTCCTCTTCCTCCCCTCATTCCAGCCACTAGCCACTTCTTCAAGGCTGCGGTTTGCTGCCTTCTCACTGCTAGTAATCTTTGCAAAAATCAATGCAAGAAAACCATTTCAGGAAACAAGCTGTCTGTATGAGACAAGAAACACTTGAAGGACCAAGCACCAGAATAATCTTCTTCCTAAACTGGGAGAAAGGCTCACTTTTGAACTCGGACATGGGTTTCTTGTTCCACTGCATTTATTCTTCCTTGCTTGCAAGATTCTACCGAAACTCACCCCTAACTACTCTTACTTTTCCTTTTATCTTCCAGAAGTTTTTCACAACTATTTTTACCCATAGTAGGTCTCAAGTTTTCATCAGAGCTATTGGATATTCTAATTATTGTTTTGAAGTCAAATATGTCGCACTTTACTGACGATTCACTTCCGTGTAACAAGAACTTTATTGGCCTGCTAACCTTTATCCTTCACCACTTGCTACCTCAACTGAATGAGGTTTTTTTCCCCTCTATCAGAATTGTGCAGGTATTAGGAAGACTTCATGATTTCAGTATCAAAGTCTGCATCTTTCAGTAAAAATGGAAGTGTCCAATTTTGAACCTAAGTTTTTGCATGTATCCCACTCCTAACTGAATGGGTCTCGTAACTCCTCCCAGCAAAATAAATTGCACAAAACAGGTCAGAAGTAGTTAATACACAGCAGCAAAATGCACAGAGAAAGAACAACTATTGTAAAGTGCAAACAGTCTGTATCTGTTCTCTCTAGAGGAGTAGCAGCTGAACTGTACTTTTCTTTGATGAGGAATTTCTTATCAAACTTAGCAGGAAAAACTGTTGCTGGGGCAGTCTGTGTTGACCAGGCTATGCTCAGCTTTACTAAGCTTTCTGTTTCCTGTCACATTTCTAACCAGCCTCCAAAACAACGGCCAAACGGATGCACAGCAAACCCATCAAATAACGTATGTGGTTTTCTCATACATCCACAAAGGAAAGTAGTTCCCTCCACAGGAAAASGTGAAAAGTGGATCATAAAACTATAAACAGAAGAATGGATTTGAGTCATAATACCTAAATCTACTATTAAGCAACTCTGTGAGGAGAAGAGAACAACTTAGGTCTAGTGACCTCTCTCCTAAAAGTTTAAGATCAAACTCTGCATCTATTTATCCTAATTTATGACTGAAACAATGTYTCAGGCTCCTTTTTCATACTTAAAGAGTGCTGAATATAAGGTTAATATCCAAAAAATGTAAGATATTTATGAGCATTCAAAACACTTAAAATGGATAGTTCTATGCTGACAGAAAAGCATACCTGTTAATGACAGGTTTTTCTGTAACTAATTATGATGACTGTTCTATTAAGGATGTGAGTAACCCACAGGCGCAGTGACCATGGCCAGAACAACGCGCAGCACAGCTGTGTTGCAAGCAGCACACTCCAAGGCCATCCCAAATAACCTGACAGGGTAAGTGCTGTGCATTGTCAATGCAGGTATGCCAGGAAGCACTGCACTGATTTTGGTGGCCAAGATTTGAGCAAAGTGAAAGGTTTCTCACAAACATGAAGCTTCTTGATCTGTTTGTGATTAAGCTACTCTCCTTCGGGACACGAAGGGTGCTTTAAGGATGTTAGTATTAATCTGGGGATTGAGCACCCTAACGTGACCGTCCTTAGAGTCCCCTGGCTCCCCTGGAGCCCTGACCAGGGCTCTCCAAGCGGGGCCCGAGGCCCCAGCGCTGCCCTGCGCGGGTCTGGGCTCCCTGCGGGGCCGCAGAGCATGCGGGAACGACCCCGGTGCTGGGCCCGGCTCTGCGCTGCGGCACGGGCGGCCCTGGCAGCGCTGCCTGAGCCGGCAGCTCGGCT